TTTGTAAAAAATGACCCAAATTGTAAAGCGTTTAAACGCATTTCACTCAACTCGGGCTAAAAAGGGCATAAAAATACGATTTTCAATTTATTTTAAAGTAATATTTCTTAACTATCCTTGCATATATTTCTGTTTAAAGTGCCCCGCCTCATTTATGTAATAAATTCAAATGTTATGTTTTTAGGCTTTTAAACCTCAGTGGAGTCCCTTTAAAGCAATTGACTAGAAAACGGGAATACTTTAATTTAGCAACTGGTAGTTCACTTTGATCTTTCAGAAGTCATTGAAATCTAATAATCAGAATTTTTGTCTGGCTTGTGTAAACGATGTTAAACTTTTTTTTAAAACATGATAATTTAAATCTGGCTAGATCGGGCGTCCATTGACCGGAACTTGCGTGATTAAATTAAGTTGATATATTTTTCTATCACCTACAATTATGATAAGACGAAAGATAACCAATCAAATTCCGCTTTTTTCATGTGTCTGTTACGTAACTACATGCCTTTAAAATTTTGCTTTTTCACGGGTAAGCGGTTAATGTTTTGCTTCGTATAGATAAATTTAATGCTTATTTTGACAACTGGACTTAACGGATATCTTCGACTTCGTAATATTTCTCTTGTCCCTCGCGATAATGTTTAAAACATAAAATTTCATTGATAGTAAACTATTGTTATGTACACGTGTCTTCGTGGTCGCTTTTTAAAAGAATGTCATTGATTTCATATTTTTAAGTGTTGTAAAAGTCATGTAAAGCTCGATATTTTGTTATTCATTTTGCAGATGTTTTAAAATGTTTAAAAATATATGAATATTTTGAAATTTATTGTGTATCATTACATGTAAACCTGTAGGGATAAAACTTCAAAAAGTCGTGCGGAAAAGGTAAATGAAAATAATGTATGTCAGCTTTGTAAGAAAAAAAGATGAAAGGTGTTTCATTTACCTGCATATTTAAAGCTTTTAAAAACATCCAATACGGAGATGCAAATCAAAATCACAAAAATTTGACTTCTATTTTATAATTTCTTGTTTATTATTTACAAATATAAATTGTATATTTAACTTAAGTTTACAAAGTATTGATTACATGGAAATGAATTTTAATTATATATTCTAAATGCTTCATAACCAAACTTCCGTAAAAGTTATTGAATTCGTTCTGTTTGTTAAACTTAAATTTCTCAAACATGCACCATTTAATTTAAATGAGACGTATCAAAGTAATTGTCGAAGTATTATGTTTTATGTGTTTAAAGCACATACATTCAGCCTCTTTATACTTTAACAGCCTGCTAAAAACATTAATTATTAAAACACTATAAATAGTTATCTCAAGTTGACATTTTCTCTCACGCGTATGATGTTATTTAAAATACCATTTAAGTGGTAGCGCGGCGTAAGAAAGAAGTGCGTGGGGAATGATGTAATTAAAGTGGTTGGTGTTATTATCGCAAACGTATTTAGGACATTAATTTACAAATAATTACTATACATTGTAAGCCTTTCTAATCTAGCTTTAAGCGGACAAGTTAATTTATAAGGTATGCTTAAAACATATTTTGTATCATCTTTATCATAGCTTATATATTTTAAAATATTAATATTGAAAATATTTTGTTTGTGTATTTCATTATTTAGTTATTTATTTAATGTTTAGCTTGAAAATACTTTTTGCAATTCACTCATTGAGCTAATTATTATGATTATCATGGTTTGTGAAAATTCCTAATTTCAATATTTTTCTATATTTTATATAATGCATTGTAACGAAACAAGTCATCCGTTCCTGCTGTAAAATGTTTTCAATATTTCTCGCTTTATATTCTATATAACTTTTTTGTCTAAGATTGATATTAAGGAAATGCACGTAAAAACAATCATATCATTTGCGTATCCAGACAGGCGAAGTCTGAAATTAATACATTCATCCAACTGTTTCAACGAAGCAAATCGATCAATCATTAGTATAAAATACATCTAATCCAGCTATGGTAACCCTGTTTTAGTTTTATAATGCTTTATTAATAATAATATCATGGCTTTATTAATGATTTTATCATGGCTATAGTTTGTCATTATACATGTATAGTATCCTACATTCTTTCCCATAGTTTTCTTATTGTGATGCAAGAGTTAAAATACAGCCTTGAGTTTTGAAACAATGTGTTATTTCAGAATGCATCTTTAAATAAAATAATTTTAAGAAATTAAACATTCAAAGCTATGAAACAAGAAAATGAGTAGTTTTTTTATAGTTAACAGCATTTCATTAGACTCTTTGTGGATGCACCCGATGCATATTATAATTGAGGAACGCGTCGGGAAGAGCTATTCATGGCTACAAGGTTCGAATCCAGAGAGCTTATAATGAAAGACAATTTGAATGTTAGCATGCTATCCCACTCCTTTTAATCAAATACTTAGTGTGAATGAAGATATCTTTTGCTTACGTAATATCTAGGGACTTTTAAAAATATTTCATAATACTTTCAAAAAAAACAAGAAAACTTTTTCACTGAAATGCTGCATGATGTGTATATCTAAAACTCAGTTAAAAATTAAAATGATAATTAACCACCCAATGAGACAAGTATAACTTCAGTCATTAATTTTTGTAGCAATTCATCATATCACCATATCGCGTCCTCCCACTCGACATTTACCTGATTTATTTTAATATTTATATCATTAATAATTCATAACATAAATAATGTCTTAAAACGTTTGCGAGTTTGCTTTTCCCAGTTACGGATAATAAATTTTGAATTACTTGACATTATCCTTGACATTTTGTTCTATGTTAAGTGTTACCAGCAAATTCTATTCAAATCTAACGATAAATATTCATGATTGAATAAGAATATTTTATGTGGTGTTTGGTCGGGCTTATGCTGCGTTAATTGAATCGAGCCTTGTGTTGCCTGTGTTGGTCTTTGTTCATAACATAACGTAACGTAACGTAACGTTAAAACTGAAGGAATGTATGCAGGCTGGTTCTATTCAAGCGGTTTTCCGAGTCAACACGTTTAGGGTTAATTTTTAATAATCTTGATAATTTGTATTTTAATTGTTAATTGTGTGTGACTCCTTAAGATTGAAGATTATTTTGTTTGTCTCGTAATTTGCGATATATAAGCGCAAGATTATAAAAATTAATCTAAAATTAACTATCATAAACTGATATATCTCATTTTAATATAATGCCGACCAGTTTGTTTCTTACATGATTCAGACAAATGAATAAAATTCCATGGCCACAAGGTCCATTGTCTCATGTGTACACAACGTGAAAACAAAAAGTCGACGATTGTTTTAGTTTCGATTTAAACACACCAATCTCTTTTGATAACCTAGCTAATACATCAGTATCATAAAAAAATATAAAACGAAAATACGGAATACATATAAAGGTGAATGTATATTTTAAACTGAATGGCGTTATCTAAAATATCAATAAATCGATGAATTTGACCTTATAACTACATTTTTGCATTTTTATATCTTCAGAAATAAGGGACGAGTAAACAAATTCGAAACATGGATGGCTCAACAACTTCTTACAATGACATTGATTCACACATTGGCGTTTACAATGTTACGTCAAACATGAATGATAGCCATGGGGCACATGTATATTATGACGAAAACTATGATGAATTCTATGACGGAAATTACGAATACGTGTATGACGACCATCTCTATGAAATATTCAATTTTGAACTTCCCATTTATGGATATGTTTGGCCAGTTATTGTTTTATTCACAACATGCTGCAACTTAATTGTGATTGGTGGATTCTTGCGCAAACGCATGCGCAATGCGACCAATTTGATTTTGGTTTTTATAGCTGTATCAGATTCGCTTACAGGACTTGTGACGTTGCCGGCAACGTTTCATATTTTTACGAACGAAAATTTTGCCCTCACAAAGGACTGGTGCAATGTGGCTATGATAACTCGGCTATATATTTCGCGTGCTTTTCATACCATATCTGTTTGGGAAACACTGCTCCTAGCTTTTCATAGATTTCTGCAAATTCGTCATCCAAATCTTGGTAAGAAAGTGTGCACAATGCCTAAGACATTATTTGTTATTTTAGTAATATACATTGCATCGTTTGGCTTACATATATTCCATGCATTTGATATAAAAGCCGAGGAAGGATTCTGTCAATGGAGTATTAGGGAACCATGTGGCTGGGCGTGTGTTTACATGTGGTTTTCTTTACTTCTCAGCCACATTCTTCCGTCACTTGCACTAGTGGGATTGGCCGTGATTATGATCAGAACTCTGAATACGTTCAAACGTGAGTCAATTGTGAGTAACCGTTCAGGACGACGAAAACAGACGCAAAGGAACGTAACTATAGTCGTGATTCTAATTGTCGTAATATTCCTTGTGCCAGAACTGCCTTACGGCATATTTTACTTGATGACCGTCAGTCTAAACCACTCGGGAAAACGGATATTCCCGCTACGCACCAACAGGCTTATCCACTGTGTATATGAACTTTTCCTCATTGTTAGTTTTCATCTGAACTTTTGGGTTTACTGCATTATGATTCGGAATTTTCGTTCGTGTATCAAAAGTTTGTTACGTCTAGTGACCTGTCGACCCGCTAACTTCGAACGTCTCGAAGGGGAAGTGACGTCATCGAGTGGCGGAGGTCTAGAACTAGCTGGAATGACTACTGGAACAGACACGGACCAGAACTGAAATACCAAGGATGCCCCCCGTTATATATTTCATAAACTAGCTAGTTATTTAATATTTTACCACGTTTGAACAAAGTGCCACAATAAGCTTCTTTGCGTGGTTGCCTAAGATGTGAATCATCTGATTAATCACAGTGATATTCATATTTATTTAATGGGTTTTTAATAACTTTATAATGAACTTCGAATCTGCATTATTTGCTTCGAAAATATCTATTAATATTTCGAAAGTATAATTTTCAAATGTTTGCGAAAACTTTATTGGTTTAAAAACTTTGTTGTACATATTTTGAATATGAGACGTATATTATACAATGTATATAGAATATTAGTTTACTTTTTTCATCCTTTAAATTTTCCGACCAATGACCAATTCTATCTAGAGCCGGGCAATTGAAAGATATAGAATCTATAAAGAAAGTCCAAAACGGCAATATTGAACATGTTGAACATTATTTTTGTAAAGGGAACAGAGGAAATGAAGCCTGCATATCACATATATGCTGTCCAAATAAACGGGGCACATATCCTTAGTGTGATTTCAAGTTTTTAAGTAAGGATGTAGAAAATACATTTACAACATTTATGTTTGAACTGTTTATACATGACGACTTTTTACGGCCTCTAAACGGCACAGACAACGCTGATTTGGCGATAAAACCGAGAGAAATAGAATCTCAAAAGCAAGTCAAAAACACGGGGCAAAATGGAAATGTTGCAGGGTCGTTTTGCTTGAGACAAAGTCATTCTAACTTGTAATCTAACCACTCTATAATAGAATCTATCTTTGGGTTAGATAGAGGATATGGAATCCTATTGCCCGAGGGTTGGGATTTCCTTATCCTCTATCTAACCTAATGTTATTTTTCTCACTCACCGGGACACACAAGAAATAAAATAGAAGTACCTGTATCAGTGAAACTACTTCATATGCGCATTACAACCAAGTTTGAATGGCGGGACGGGGCATAGGCGCCTGACTTTCTATGGTTGACAAAAAGCATTTTACCGATTGCGAAGATTTTTCTACTGATTCAGTTATTTTGGCCAAATATTCAATAAAAATAAATTAAAATGAGATTTGTCGTCAAGAACCATCGTTACCATTACATAAAACATGGATGCTTTCCAGGCAAAGTGTCATAATATTCGATTTTACTAATTTAAAGTGTGCTATTTTTTAATTTCTAATAGGTCGATACGGAAAAGTCTGACCTAGGTAGAGTGGACTCTAGCGCGAAAGTTATTATCAATTTCTTTCGATTCCGTGGAGAATTTAAAATATTAGCTCAGATTTTTGATACCTTATAGGCCATCCTAATGTTTCATTTTCGTCAAAATAAGGGTATGTGTAGGAATATGTAAAGAAGTGCTGCACGTAGAGTATGAGATAACCCCATGTGAGATAAGATTTTCCAACACCGCTATTTTTAGTTACATTTACGAATTTTTCTATCTGGTTAGTGGGAAAATATATTGTTGGCTGCTCTTATATCAAAGACTTTCAAATTAACAACAGACAGGTTCAAATTAAAAGCTGAACGAGTACAGTATAATATACAAATACCAATTATGCACTTCAAAGAGAAATTATATTTTATTAAAAAGGATGAACGGTTAACCATTAAATATTTGGATGTATATTCTTAATTATGATGACGTATCAAGTGGTAATATGAAAGTCATAAAAGTTTTTTTGCTATGAGAAAACACCGGCTAAATTCGGATGGTCAGCTGCATTGACTTATCACATTAAAGACCATATCAATATCAGCACGCCTTCTTTTAACTATTTCCTTTTACAAACGAATGTGTCAGATTAACCATAAGTCTAAATACTTCAGGTATGGCAACAAGAACATGAAAACAGAGAGATCCCACGAGATCATTGAGAACAATATTAAAACTGTGTACATCGCAGATTTGGTATGATTGAGTCTAGCCCCCTAGCACCGGCTTAAGCGGAATTTAATCCAGACACAAATGAAATCTTGAAAGTAGCAATAACTTGTTCAGATAAATTCATTTGTCATATTTAAATAATGAATGTACCAGACATTGATTAAAAACACTTCACACAATTTCCTCGTCCCTCTATATACATGCCCACGGTCCCATCGTAATAACTGTGCTAAGATACTAAAAAAGACAAGTTAAATACTTCAAGACCGTTAAGAAGTAATGAAAATATTGATATTTTATTACTTCTATGAAAATCTGTAACCAAAAATTACTAAATGATACTAAACAAATACCTCATCATGAACAATATTTTGTTTCAATACAGTTATATTTGAGACACATATACTTCTATGTAAATTGCATGGTAAAAGAGTGATGTAATGTCAGTTGGTTTTTTGTTGTTGTTGTCGTTGTCTTTTTTTTCTTTTTTTTTTCATTGTTATACAAGAAAAACAAGAAGTACTTTTATAATCATTAATTCACCTAATTCTTTATTGTGGCAAGTGTCACAATGGTATTTTCCTTTATTTATAGCACACAAAAACAGTCACAACATATTATGGTTTATTCTTGATGCATTATTGATGTACTTGATGCATTCCTTTCATTGTTTATATAGATGATGCAAACATCTTTCACGTGTACTCTGTCATATAAATTACATATAAGAATGACAGGATCTTACAGATATTTCACTGACGTATGTTCTCGGGGGAAAAAGACAATGATTTTAGTACTGTATAAATAACATCTAAAATTGCTTCATTAATTAGAATATTTCTGGAGTGTTAGGGAAACCATGGCATTCATTAAACATATTCAGGAAGTTAACAATAAGGAAATCATCTGAAACAAACGACGATTTTCACAAACTTATTACAAATGTACAACCTCTGTGTTGAGCTCGAAATTAACAACAAATAAAATTAGTTAGCATGAGATATTCATATACACTACTGGTTATATCTCATGCACCGATTCATGCATTATGTTGTAAATATAAGACTGTATAGAAAAGAACGCAACAAAGTATACGGCTTGTATCACTATATTAATGAAAGTACAAACTACATGTAGTTTCACAAAGCAAACAAAGAAAAGACTAAAAGAGACACAGGTATAAATTTTCATGCCACAAAAATGTTTATACCGTTACATTAAAAGGTGATATCTAAACCTTTGAAACACTCTCTTAGATTGTGTAACTTGTATATAATTATGCTATTTAACTTTGTCATTGTTGTCACTAATGTATTCATGTATTGGTTGATGTCGATGTGCTGTATATGCATATGACTGAATAAATTTTCTGTTCTGTTCTACATATATTTTACATATTTGTTAAATGAGTTATATATTCACTCCTTTAGATAATTGGCAAATGTAAGATTTATAATTGCCCTAGGTACATGTATAAAATGTATAAAAATTAATTACTTTGAAATGCTGTTAATTTAATGCTGGAATGATAAAATGTGACTTGATTAATGAATGGCAATTAAGACGTAGGGTTATTTAAAAGATAAATGTATTTCTTTTTGTCAGAATAAAATGTTTCTTTAGTCATGAGGGGACAAGATATTTCTGAAGAACAAATTTCAAAAAAGACAGAATTCAGTCAAGAGCTTATCAACTTAAAAGACTTTTTTTCTTCCGGCGTACTGTGTAGTGTCTTATGTTAATGCTATAAAGGGTACAAGAAACCTTGTGATAATATAGCCAATTAGATGATGACCAAGGTGAAAACTTTTATCCCTTATCATTTGTTTTTTTCTGGTAATATTATTGAAAGACGAATTATAAGTTAATGAAATGCTAAGAAAGTTCCTTAAAGCCATTTTAATGATAGACAACAGAAGAAAAGAGCATATATGTATTCCGAAATAATATAAAGTTCGGATAATGCAACAGTCAAGTTTTTCATTGATGAATGGTTTATACAGTATGGTTTATATATTTCGTTCGCAAATTTAGAGTTTAAAGCTTTTGTATTTTAATGGAAAACTGAACATATTCTAAAAACATGATGTAAGTACATATGTTTAATAAAATGATATTTCTCACACTCATGCAAAACAGTTTGCATTGGTTTAATCTGTCTCTCGCAAAACAGTTTGCATTGGTTTAATCTGTCTCTATCAAAAGAGAAAAAAATCATTTTCTATTGACTATACTTGAAAAAAATACAGTTGTAATAAGTATTATTCATAACCTAAAAAAAGGCACTTATCGTGCAGTGGATACAAGAACCAAATGTTGTCAATTCAAACGTAACAATTCTGTTCTTATGTTATGTGCTCTAAGTTGTTTTGTTTACTATACGCCAATGTTATGTACCGGTTTATACAGAATTCAGTAGACATTTCAAGATGTATAGTCGTAGAAGAATTGTCAACATCAGAATTAGTCAAACACTTTATACAAACCTATTCTAGGAATTGTTTGCAGATTTTTTTCCAACAGGTAATGCATTATAGCAGTTAAATAAGGAATTGTTTGCAGATTTTTTCAACAGGTAATACATTATAGCAGTGAAATTAGGAATTGTTTGCAGATTTTTTCAACAGGTAATTCATTATTGCAGTGAAATTAGGAATTGTTTGCAGATTTTTTCAACAGGTAATACATTATAGCAGTTAAATTAGGAATTGTATGCAGATTTTTTCAACAGGTAATACATTATAGCAGTGAAATTAGGAATTGTTTGAGATATCTCTCAAGGTGTATAGGTTTTATTTACGTAATGTTTTAGCGTCCGAGTTTTATATTAAAGTAGTTCAGGTGAACAATACACAAAGTAGAGGCAGATTATATCTGGTTTATTAAGTTATTAACTATATTGGCTAACATTATAACTGATACGCGCGTATAAAAATGATTTTTTATAATTATGTTGCTATGGTTTACTCTGTTATTGAATGAAAGACCTTACCTTGATTCTTGAAGTAGGGTACGTCAAATTTACATTAAAGAATTTTTGTTAGTATAGATAATAATAAAACATGTTTTTTCTTCTTCTTTTCTTTGATAAATTAACAGCAAGAAAAATGATATGTTAAAGGTTAAAATATAACCTTAGAATTAAAAATTAATGTATGCTTTAAAACATTCGAATATTAAGCAGGTGACCTGTAAATTTCTCCGTACATTTGGACATAATATGTAACTATATACGGGCGTTGTCTATCAAAGAAAATGCGTAAGGCGAAATTAAATAGAATGTTCAATTCAAAATGTGATACGTAATTATTAACAATTAACCATGAAATTAAGCGCAGTATACTAAAATATCTAGATAATATGTATTAACGTATTACATTTGGAATACGTTCAGTGGATGTAGACATTCCATATATGATATCAGGTATATTAATTTTATTTTTTATTGAAGTTTTATCGTTTGACATATTTATGTAACATATGTATGTTTTTATTTAATATTATTTAAGTAGTCGTATAATACTAATTTTCATGTTCATTTCTTTTTCAATATGGCAATTTTATAATGTGTATCTTTTCATTAAATTGAAGTAAATCTGACATTGATTGATATGAACCTTATCTATTTAAGTCAGACACAACTTTTATCAGTATTGGCACACTACTGAACAATCAATACCATGATGCAATATTCTAACACGACCCGCATTTTTCCCTATTGAACATAGAAGAACAGAAAGTGTGTGTTATTATGCAACAGATGCACAGTTTGACGTTCTATATTTAGACATGTGACGTAGTCATTACACACGTGCCGTAACCACTAAAAATCCAACGCGCTGAAAATAAGTTCGGAAACAAATCAGGCGCAATTTTGCTTATCTATCAAGTACCGCAACATTTATTTGTTAATGTCGTGTTAGAATCGAAATAATATATCCAAAATCAGTGATTTTATCGCTTGATAACATCACTGTTTGTCGTTCGGATGCGCATCATTATATCACTCGGGCTACGCCCTCGTGATATAATTCCTCGCATCCGCACTCCAAACAGTGATGTTATTGAGCGATAAAATCACTGTTTTCGATATATTATTTCTTAAATATTATGATAATATTGAAGATATATAATTTCAACCATTAAATTTAATCCTTAATTTTTTTAAACAAAATAACGATTCATTCGCCAAAGTATCATAATATAAAAATAACGGGCAGTAGTTTAAGATCAGCGGATCGTAGAATATATACTTTAAATCATGTCAAAGGTCTTTACAGTAAAGTTTATATACTTCTTTTACAACAATAGAGTTTAAAGCTTTTGTAATAAAATGGAAAACTGAATACGTTTTTAAAACTTATGATTTAAGTACATATGATTGTTGTCACTCATGCAAAACAGTTTGATAGGAGAAAAAAGTTTAAAACCATAATTAAAAGAAACAGTTGTGTTAAATAATTCATACATCAGTTAATTAAAAAAAAGCAGTGTTGGATACAAAATCCAAATTCGTGCAATTTAAACTTAACAATTGTTTTCATATAATCTTTTGGATATCGTATGTGCTGTAAGTTGTTTTGTTCTACAATATGCCAATTTGATCTACAAGTATGTACATAATTCGATAGCATATACAGATGATTCAGACACGAAAAAAGTTATTCAAGCAGTTTATACAACCGAAATGAAGCAATTGTTTATATTTCAAACAGATTATTCCAACGCGTAATTAGTTCTTGTAGTAAATTTAGGAATTAATTGAAGCTATTTTACGAAATATAAAAGTAAGATGCCTTTCTGGTTCTATGAGTTTTATTTACGTAATGTGTTACCGGCCAAGCGAAACATTCTATTAGAGCGAATTATTTCAGATATAACTACAGATTGTAAAGGTAGATTACAGCTTATTCATGAAGTAACCATACTGCCCAATATTATATATTTGGCACGTGCTTATTAACAAATTGGTTTTACGAGTACTAAATGTTGCGTATGGTTTAGCGAAGGATATTACCTTTATTCTTGAAGAAGGGTTAGCCAGACTTACATTTAAGATTTATTTTGTAAATATTTATAATAAAGTACCTAACCATGAGTAAAAATAAGATCTTTAAAAAAAACAATGCATATAAAGCGATGTGAAACAGGTAACAAAAATAACCTTACAATTAAAATGTGATTAATTGTTTTAAACTTTCGAATACATTGTAGTGTAAGTTGATGACAGATGTCCTCAAACTTTCCCCGTACCTTTGGACATGATATGTTATTTCATACAGGCGTTGTCTATTAAAGAAGACGTGCAAGGCGAAATCAAAGTGATTATTACCATTTAAACTTGCAATTAATCGCAGTATACTTAAACCTCTGGATAATATGTATTCATGTTGATGTTGAATGAATAAATATTCAGTGGGTGTAAGGAATATATTAAATAATATCAGGTATATTAATTTCTACTTTGATTTAAATGTTAACTTATGTTGTCGTTTTTTTATATTTATGAATTTTATCATGCACGTTTTGTTCTTTTCGCCTTTTAAAATCTTATATTCTTTTTTGTAGTTGTGTATTTAGTCATTCCCCATGTTTGTATGTTAATTTTTCAAAATTATTTAAATATGACAATTTCATGTGATGCATCATTTCATAAATAATGAAGTCAAACTGACATCAATTGATATAAAAATTAATGCACATTTTATCTTTTAATTTTCAACTACTGAACAGTCAAATAATTCAAATGTCAATACACTACATGTATATGATAACATTATGATAATGATGATGATATAGTTTTAAAAATTGAACCATTACTTTTTGTGACGATTATTTTTTAAACATATATAATGATTCAATCATCAAAGTATTTAGATATAATAAACGATGAAGGGCAGTGGGTTAAGACCAGTGGACTGTAGCCTATATTATCTAAATCATGACTAAGGCCTTTATAATTTACACACTTCTTACATATAAAATAAAGTTTGAAAACTTTGATGTTGAAATGAAACACTAATTATGCTTTAAACTACATTAAAACATATTACATATTACTAATGATGTAAGAACGTAAGTTTGAATTTTTCTCTCGGTCAAGCAAAACAATTCGCATACATCTTTCAGAAGAAGAAAAGAGAGATTTAAATGATATACAATAGGAAAAAAATCAGTTGGTTTAAAAATAATTAATATGTAAATTTATTGATAAATACAATTATCTATAATTGATTTGAAGGTTTCCAAATCTGACACTGGTAAAATAGTAAATGAACGATAAAAGTTATGTCTAGTACCTATGGTGGCTGATTTGGTAAGCTTTTGGGCTTCGTGTTGGCGCTAGCGACAACAGGACAAAGCCCAAAACGGCGCGTTGTCGGACTTTCGTCTTGTCGTCCTGTCGCTAACGATGTACGCCAAACGGCGCGATGTCATGCGGCGTGTTGTCCATCTTCGTCTTGTCGTTCGGGTCAAATCAAAGGATTGGCTTATACGCCAAGCGACAGGGCGACATCGCGACAACGCGCCGCATGACAACGTCGTTTGGCGCTTTGTCATGTTGACGCTAGCGACAAGACGAAGATGCGATAACGATATAGGTTGCCTTGTCGCTATCGAAAACGCATCGCGCAATGTATAGCAAATCAGCCACCATAAATACCATATTCTGTCTAAACGTAAGATGGTAAATGAAATACATTTTTAAGTGAAATGTCACTTTAAATAGTTTGCATTGTGTCGGCGTCAGGTTTTTATTTCATTCTTGTTTCCTGTGTCTAGCTTAAATCAATTTATAAAGTAACGAACAAGTTACAATGCTGTCATCTTTTGTCTCATTATTTAAATGATTGACGGTGACACATGTTATAATGAATGTTTCATAAAATATATGGACCGTCATAAAAAAATGCAACAATATCCGCATCATTACGTCATGTTAAATTCGGAAACATTTTAACGTTTAGAATTAAAATGAAACATTATTTGCCCCAGTGAAAATGTTATTAAGACACTAGTATTAAGATCGCATTTGATAACCCAGATAAATAGCTTTAAGGTACACACTTGACTAGAAAATGAGGATACTTTAATTTAAGAACTGGTAGCTCACTTTGATATTTCAGAAGGAATTGAAATCTAATAATCAGAAGTTTTAAACGATGTTTAAACTTTAACATTTTCAAACATCTGGTTAGATCGGTCGTCCATTGACCGGATCTCGTGCGATTTAATTAAGTTTATAACTTTTTTTCTATCACCTACAATTATGATAAGACAAAAGATAACCAATCATGTTGCGCTGTTTTCTTGTGCCTTTTACGAAAATACATGCCTTTTCTTTTGCACGGGTTAATGGTGAAACATGTTGCTTGCTTCGTATAGATAAATTTGATATTTATTTCGAAAATTGGACTTAACGGATATCTTTCAACTCGTAATATTTCTTAGGTCTCTCAACATAATGTTTAAAATATAAAATTTCATTAATAGTTTTGACCGAGAAAACTGTTGTTATAAACACGTGTCTTCTTGTCCGCACTATAAAAGAATCTCATTGATTTCATATTGAAAAAACTTGATATTTGGCATTTATTTCGCAGATGTTTTAAAATGTTTCAAAAAAATATATGAATATTTGACATTTATTGTGTACCATTAAACCTTCAAAAAGTAGTGCGGGAAGTGTTAATGTAAATTATGCTATAGATAAAAAGGTGTTTCATTCATCTGCATATTTTAAGCTCTTGATAACAGCCAATACGGAGTTTCGAACTTGAAATGCAAATCAAAATTACAAAAGTTTGACTTCTACTTTATGCTTTCTTGTCTACTATTTGTAAACAAAAAGACTTCATTAAATTTAAATTGAAAATATTGATTTCATGAAAATGAAATTTTATCATATATAGACCGTTTTACAATACGATTTTCCATAGCAACGAATGTTGCATTTCGCGCATGCGCATTCTGCGTAGGGCAAAACGCAATAACGATGTCTACACTTTATCATACTTTCAGGCTTAAATAGATGCGATTTCATGTTATGTCACCAAAAAAATATTAATTTTGGGATGACTTAATGCGGTAAGTACTGAAAACGTGGATTTATTTTTTAACAAATCTAATGTGCGGGACTAATAATTCAATGGTCAAAAAGGGCACACGCATGTTGTTTGTTTAAGGTATCATTAGACGACTTTTCCATCAGTAATTTAAATTGAAACAGCAGGGTGTTAAAGATAAAATGTTATTACCCCTGTATTACACAATATTACACAATTTGTATTGTACACTTCCTTTGAATAACTGGATTGGTCAGGCGGCAAGTGTCAAACAGATTGGCACGCGAACGGTTGTTCATTCAACCGGGACGTTTAAATACCATGATATACATGTGTAGTTAATCAGTTACGCTTATTAAAATGGTAATTTATGTAACTTTTAAATATACCGATCAATGTTTATGGATTTTGAGAAGAGAAAAATTGTGACATGCATTATTATAAATAACATGTTTTACGAAGAAGCGGATAAAATGTGTGTTATAACTTTTATCTCTTCCAAACGTTAACTTCTCAAGATTTTGAAAAAAAATAATTAATTATTTAAAATCTATTTATGTGACTTAAATTTTTCTGTTTGCATCACAGGCAAATCGGATAAAGGATATAATCAGGTATATTGAACACTAAAAATGCATTATCACCTGTTCTGATATTTTTTCAGAATGATAATTAATCTCGATTTCATGTTATAAAATTTCTTTTGTTTTTTATATGAACTATTTCAACAGCAAATAAGTTGACTTTCCATTTGCTTATAGATATATTTCCACATCTTCTTTAAAAAAAAATGATCTCGCTGTCAAGTCCGTGATCGTAAATTCTTAAACAAGTATCTTTTCCATGCCTTTTTATGGCATTCTCGCCGCAAAGTTTTCTATATTTGTTAAAAGCTATTTTATATAATTTTCTACCGTTTACCTTGAACTAACACGGAATTGTCTATGAACTTCTACTATATTTCTATGTAGGGCGATGCGGTTTTTTGCCCTACGCAGATTGCGCATGCGCGAGAAAATTCTAATTCCGGTCGATTTTTCAAAGCAACGGACCGCGTCGTAAAAAGGTCTATTCTAAATGCTTCATAATCAAACGTCCGTAAAAGTTATTGAATTCGTTCTGTTTGTTAAACTTAGATTACTCGAAGATACACAATTTAATTTAAATGAGACGTGTCAAAGTAAATGAGGAATTATTAAGGAAACCATTTACATTCAGCCTCTTATACTTCAACAGCATACCAAAAATATTAATTTTTAAAACACTATAAATAGTTAGTTTAGTTTAAACGTATTTTATTTCTCAGAATATATATACATGTTACAATATACAATATACATAGATCAATATAAATATTCTTAAAAACAGGATTAGAATGAAAGACAACATGTCTTATGAAATTCTTCTTCTAAATAGTTGAACTTATCTCAAGTTGACATTTTCTCTCACGCGTACGATGATATTTAAAATACCAGTTAAGTTGTAGCGCGGCGTATCGGGAATGCTGTAATTAAAGTGTTTTGTGTTATAACCGTAGACGTATTAAGGACATTAATTTACAAATAATTACGATACGTTGTAAGCCTTTCTAATCTAGCTTTAAGAGGATAAGCTTACTTATAAGGTATGCTTAAAACATATTTTTTATAATCTTTATCATAGCTTTTATATTTTAATATATCAATAGTTATAATATTTTGTTTGTTTATTTCATTATTTAGTTATTTGTGTTATGTTTAGCTTGAAAATACTTTTTGAAATTAACTCATCAAGCTAATTATTATGATTATTTTGATTTGTGAAAATTCCTTATTTCATATATTTTTCTATATTTTATATAATGCATTGTAACAAAACGAGTCAACCGTTCCTGCTTTAAAATGTTTTCAATATTTCTCTCTTTATGTTTTATATAACTTTTTGTCTAAGGTTAATATTGAGTAAATGCACATAAAAACAAAATATCATTTGCATAATTATCCAGACAGGCAAAAAAACGAAATTAATACATTCATCAAAATGTTTCAACGGGGCAAATCAATCAATCATTAGTATAAAATACATCTAATCCAGCTATGGTAACATCTTTTAGTTTTAAAATGCTTTATTAATTATAATATCATGGCTTTATTAATGATATTATCATGGCTTTAATTTGTCGGCAATCTGTATCAAATTATACATGTATAGTATCCTTATTCTTTCACATAGTTTTCTTATTGCGCTGCAAGAGTTTAAATACAGTCTTGAGTTTTCATACATTATGTTATTTCAGAATGCAATTTCAAATAATATCTTTAAAAAATCAATCATTTGTAGAGAGCGTAGCTAAGATAGAAGAAAGTGACTTATGTTTGATACTTAGCAGTGGAGTTCCTTTTTTAACGTCCTTGGTAGTTGCACAATGTATATCATAATTGGGAAACGCATCTTGAAGTGTTTTCGTGGCCACAAATGAATATATGAATCCAGAGAGCTTTGAATGAAAGACAATTTGAATTTAAGCATGCTAACCCACTCCTTTTAATCAAATACTTAGTGTGAATGAAGATATCGGTTGCTTACAGTAATATCTAGGGACTTTTAAAAATATTTCATAATATTTTGAAAAAAAAAATTTTTCTTTTTCATGCTGCATGATGTGTATATCTGAAACTCGATTAAAAATTAAAATGACAATTAACCAACCAATGAGACAATTATAACTCAGTCATTAGTTTTTTGTAGCAATTCATCATATCACCATATCACGTCCTCCACTCGACATTTACCTGATTAAAAATTTTATTATTTATATCATAAATAATTCATAACATAATAATGTCTTAAAACGTTACGAGCTTGCTTTTCCCAGTTGCGGATAATAAATTTTGAATTACTTGACATTATCCTTGAAATTTTGTTCTGCGTTAAGTGTAACTAGCAAATTCGTTTCAAATCTTAAATGGTGCTTAACTAAAATTCGTGAAGATATAGAATATTTTATGTGGTGTTTGTTTGGATTCTGCAGCGTTAATAGAACCGAGCCTTGCTGTGTAGATCTTTGTTAGTAACATAACAAAACATAACGTAACATAACGTAACGTAACGTTACGTTATGTAACAGTAAAACTGAAGGAATACAGGCAGGCTGTTTCTATATTGGCGGTTTTTCGGGTCAACAGGTTAAGGGTTAATTTCTAATAAACTTCAGGATTTGTTTTTTTTATTGTTTGTGACTCCTTAAGATTTAAGCTTATTTTTTTTATTGTTTTGATCTTTGCGATATATTAGTGCCAGCACAAGAAAATTGTGATAAAAAATAACTGACAATAACTGATATGTCTATTTTATTATAATGCCGACCAGTTTCTATATCATAAGGACAAATGAATAAAATATCATGGTCACAACGTCAATTGACCCATGTGTACGCAACGTAGAATAAGTCGAAATCGTCAATTTGTGTTTAGTTTCGGTTAAAATACATCAAGCCAAGCTCTTCTGAAAACCAAGCTAATACATGCACAACAGTAAAATTTATAATACGGAAATACGGAATACTTAGGAGTACTGTTAAAACATCTAAATGTGAATCTATGATTTTAACAGAATGACATAAATTTAAAAAATCAAATAATAGATAAATTTGCTCTACATTTTTATATTTTTATATCTTCAGAAATAAGGGACGAGTAAACAAATTGGAAACATGGATGGCTCAACAACTTCTTACAATGACGTTCATTCACACCTTGACGTTTACAACGTTTCGTCAAACATGAATGATAGCCATGGGGCACATGTATACTATGACGAAAACTATGATGGATTCTATGACGGATATTACGAATACGTGTATGACGACCATCTCTATGAAATATTCAATTTTGAGCTTCCCATTTATGGATATATTTGGCCTGTTCTTGTTTTATTCACAACGTGTTGCAACTTCATTGTGATTGGTGGATTCTTGCGCAAACGCATGCGCAATGCGACTAACTTGATTTTGGTTTTCATAGCTCTTTCAGACTCGCTTACAGGACTTGTGACGTTGCCGGCAACATTTCATATTTTCACGAACAAAAATTTTGCCCTCACAAAGGACTGGTGCAATGTTGCTATGATAACTCGGCTATATATTTCGCGTGCTTTTCATACCATATCGGTTTGGGAAACACTGCTCCTAGCTTTTCATAGATTTCTGCAAATTCGTTATCCAAATCTTGGTAAGCAAATGTGCACAATGCCTAAGACATTATTTGTTATTTTAGTAATATACCTTGCATCGTTTGGCTTACATATATTCCATGCATTTGATATAAAAGCCGAGGAAGGATTCTGTCAATGGAGTATTAGGGAACCATGTGGCTGGGCGTGTGTTTACATGTGGCTTACTTTACTTCTCAGCCACATTCTTCCGTCATTTGCACTAGTGGGATTGGCCGTGATTATGATCAGAACTCTGAATACGTTCAAACGTGAGTCAATTGTGATCAATCGTTCAGGACGACGGAAACAGACGCAAAGGAACGTAACTATAGTCGTTATTCTGATTGTCGTGATATTCCTTGTGCCAGAACTGCCTTACGGTATATTTTACTTGATCACCGTCAGTCTAAACCACTCGGAAAAAAGGATATTCCCGCTACGCACCAACAGGCTTATCCACTGTATTTATGAACTTTTCCTCATTGTTAGTTTTCATCTGAACTTTTGGGTTTACTGCATCATGATTCGGAGTTTTCGGTCGTGTATCAAAAGTTTGTTACGTCTAGTGACCTGTCGACCCGCTAACTTCGAACGACTAGAAGGGGAAGTGACGTCATCGAGTGGCGGAGGTCTAGAATTAGCTGGAATGACTACTGAAACAGACTCGAATCAGAACTAAATTCTAAACTCGCCCCAGTAAAATATTTCATAAACTATGTAGTAATTACAATGTAAATATTTTACTAAGTTTAAACAGAAAAGTGCCAAAATAAGCTGTTTTCATGGTTTTCCTAAGAGGTAAATTATCTAATTAATCACAGTAATATTCATATTCATTTTATGGGGTTTTAATGACTTTATAATGAGCTTCGGATCTGAGCATTATTTGCTTTGAATATTCATTTTGTGATTTTATCAATATTTCTGAAGTATAACCCAAAACTGTATCGGTTTAAAAACAGTGTTGTACATATTTTGAATATCAGAAGTATATGATACAAAAATATTTTAGTTCACTTTTTCATCCTTTCAAAGTAAACGACCAATGACCATTTCTATCCAGAGCCAGACAAGAGAGAGAAATAGAATCCAAAACGGCAATATTGAAAATGTTGCAGTCTCGCTTTGATTGAGTCTGTTTGTGGACGGTACTGGAGAGTGAAGGCTACTGTCCATGCCCTCTAGCTTGGGCTTAAGCAGAATTTAACATTTAAACATAACAATAAATTTTGGAATTTAGAAACATCCGCACATGTGTTTATACGGCGGTTATCATGGAACATTCAATGAGACGCCTTAGTGCCATTCTATAAAAAGTGGCGTATTGTCCTCAAGTAAAGAATGCATGTGTCATAAACAAGAAGACAGTGGGCAAATCTAAGTAATATATAACTTAATTTTTGAGGATCAGAAGTTATGAAGCCTGCATATCAAAGATATGCTGTCAAAAGACCAATTCAAAAAACAGGGCATATCCTTGGGGCGATAATACAGTATTTAAGTCAGGAAGTAGAAAAAAAAAACAAATATAAAGAACTAAAAGTGCGACAAACATATCAATAATGTCATGTTTAAAGATATTTAAGGATCAAAAATACATGTACAGCATTTCTGATTGTATATTCTTGACGACTTTTCTACGGCCTCTACACAGCACAGTCTATGCTGATATGGCGATAAAAATAGAAAGAATCTCTAATGAAAGTCCAAAACGTCAAAGTTGAAAATATTCGGTTTAAGTGATCCAAAGTCACTGTAACTTGTAATATATCACTATATATATTGTTGGCTGCTTTGATGTCAAAGACCTTCAAATAACAACAGACAGTTCGACTTAAAAAACTGACGAGTACAGTATAATGTACAAATAACAATAATACACTACAAATACAAATTAGTTTTAATTGAAAAGCATTAACCAAAAATAACTTAAATGGTAGAGAGCAAAAATAACATAAAAGAGATAATTGAAAATTGAAAATTGTAATAGCATATTTATACTGCCACAAGTTTGGCAATTTAAATTGTTTCTTGTGTTGTTTGTATCATAAATTCATAATGCATGTATTAGTTTATCTCCGTAAAAACGTGTTAGCAGTACTGTGTTTTTTTATTCTTTTTTGTGAACAGAGTTAGCTGCAATGAGATTCCTGACATAAAATAGCAGCATTTAAATTGATTTATGGAGAAAGTTATTTTCGCAATTATTTAACAGTCCTCTTTGAGAAGCAATAACAGTTTTCTCTGTGTGCACTTTATCTGTATTTGTTTCTCTTTATTTGACAGCTAAAGGTTTCATTATTACAATACTGCCTCCAGCGTCGTAAACCTGTAAAATATTTAATTCAGATGTGGGTTTTTTTCCAAGAAAAGAGAATAAAACTAATGAATTTTGAAGTTAAGAAATGCACAAATCTAAATAAAATATCTGTCTGTCTGTGCTAAAAAATCAAGTTTGTTCTTACTCTAGAACACTGAATTTTCACAATAATTAGAACGGTTCGGGAGACATGCTGCTGTTTGAAAGTAAAAAAGATCAATTGGATAAAAAATTTAGAATATTGAAATACAATACAGCTAATTTACATGTGACTAGAAGAATATTTATTTGAAATTTACATATATCATAATGTTTTTCTCATATACGGTATTGAACAGTAGCATTGCCAGTTTCTTGTTATAATACCAACTCTGTATTTAGGACAAAAATAAATCAAACCATTTTTTATATATAAAATAAGAAACAACCATGAACATCAATAAAGTATCTCAACAAAATTGACACGACTGTTGGATACATTTATCAATTTTATATATATTGTCTAGCATAAATGATGATAATACTTCTGGCAGACATTTGTTTCAAAATGTAAACTGGTTCATTTCTTATGTTTCCAAAACTAATGAGAGATAAGTTTTGTTACAGAGAACTTGCCAGAAAATAATACAATTTACTATTTACTTTACATTTTATTTCAGGAAAATAAAATATCCTGTTTTCAAATCTTAATTTGAGTTATAATTGAATAATATAATTATAATTATTACAACTTTATTGCATTGACTTTACTTTCCCGTCATAATTTTTAAGGTAAATAAACATTATATATATTTTATAGTAACATCTAATATTTTGTACTTATTATCTATTTATTTTAATTGAAAAATGTTACTATTTGTTTAAATTTATATAATATCCAAGTATATAATAGCCATATACAATAAAAATGCACATCAAAAGATATATATTCAAGGTTAGGGAAGGATAAAAACTGAAGATTTCAGTTAATTTGTAACATGTGTCGATTTGTTTTAACAAATTGAACTTTTTTGAGATGACTTTTAGCGGTTACTCTACTCTGCTCCTGATTTATGTTGAAGTCTTTATCAACATGATTCAGTGAATGCGAATTTAAAACCAAAAAAATATAATAACAAAATAAAATATCAAAGTAATCTTTTTGACAAAACACAATTACAGCAAAATTGTGTTTGATAAATTGTATTTTATCAGTCTAGCATAAATAATTGTGCCATTATGTATTATGATGTATAAAGACATTAAATTAAATGGTCTATGACCTATTTTAAGGACATTTAATATGGTACAATGATTTAAGATGGTGACACATTGACCTGTGAAGTTATCAGAATATGTTTTATTAATGTTACAAAAATGTAAACTGTTAACTATGTAGTAAAAATGGTCGGATAATAACATTTACAGCTTTAACGTTATTAATGCTTAATATCACACAAATAATTATTAGCGATAGAATGTTACATTTTTGTCACTGTTTAATCTACAAATACGAGAAAAAGTTGTTGCTTTAGCTTATTTACCAATACAGTTAATATATCCAATAAACAAGAAAGGGTGACATACTATGAAGGTATCAAAAAAATAAACACAGGACCACCGGCAAGGAGCCCAGCAGGACGCCAAATCCTATTTTTTTTAATACAATTCATAAAATGTATTTGATATTATATGTACACAAAAAGTAGGGCAATTATGCATTAAATTCACGAGTACAATGGATTCCCACAAAGTTCTATTTATATTTATAAGTACGTAAAATGCCACTTTATAGAATAATTGGTTAGGATTTATCAATAATGTACCTATCTAGATTGCATGTGTACTCGTTTTTATTTTCATTTTTATTAGATAAATATGGTGGCTGACTAGAGACCTGTCATAAATCTTCTCTGCGGGGCGCCAGAAAAAAACACGAAAATATGACAAAGTGATAATTTGTCGTAAATTGTGCTTTTGCTTTTCGATGCGTGGGCCACCAGACGAAACAAGAAAATACGACAAAATGTTCACTTTGTCGTACTTTCACCCCGCTGGGTGCCGGGCAAAGCACAAAACTATGAAAATGTGACCACTTTGTCGTTCTTTAGCTCTGCGGGGTGCCAGGCGGAAACACGAACATACGACAATTCTGAATCATGGTTATGTACATTTGCCATCTGTTAAAGCTATTTAAGACATGGGTAAACAAATTGCTTCCCATGTAAATGTACAAAACGATCTTCCGTGGGACATATCATTTACCCTGGGGGAATTCCTGTAAAGGCAAAATTTAAACTTAATTTTTATATAATGCTTTTCATTGCAATATTAAAAGTAGGTTGATATAATTTATTTTGAAGTATAATCACAAAACATATTTACAAAACTATAGACATGTAAAATAGAAACCTTGTAATATCAAATGAAAAATAATTATGTCATAGTATAAGCCGAGGGTACTAAATCAACTAAGTGATGTAAAACAGCAAGGCATCTGTTTTAATTACAGTCATTTTAATGGAGCTGTGATGATAAAGTCAGGAAGTAATTTTTATCCTCATTTGATAAAAGTGATACTGCATTCCCTGTATGAGAAAATAATGAAAATAAAACATTGAGTTTAAAACATAAGAATGAATTATCCTTTGAAGATACGTCAATCAAGGGAAGGTAAAACAGCCTGTTTTAAAACCTAGCCATCAAATTTAGATAAGATACGATATTGTCTTGTCTTGTTATTTTCTCACGGAATATTTCACGAAATGTGAATAATTATGTTTTGAATTTCACGATGATTCCTTATTTATTAAAGTAGTTATATTACAAATTAATCAATAAATAAGTTACCTTTTTCCAAGGCCATTGAAAAAGGGTTATACCTCATCCCTATTATCCCTCATGTACAGACTCAATCAAACCGAGTCTGCAATTCTCTTGTAATTTTGTTGTGATTAATGCTTCCGAGGGATCACTTTGTTTCCAGATTTTTATACTTCACAACAGCAGGTGTAAAGTCATGTGTGGCAGCTGTAAAAAGTTGCCCATTACTTCACTTCATTGTTGTTATATTTTTCTGGTCTTTCGGGATCATTGATGCCAGCACTATTAAGTGTTGAGAATTGAGTACCGCTCAAGCCGGTGCTAGGGGGCGTGAGGGATGTCGCACGTATTCATTATCCCTCAAATACAGACTCAATCAAACCGAGTCAGCAATTCTCTTGTAATTTTGTTGTGATTAATGCTTCCGAGGGATCACTTAGTTTCCAGATTTTTATATTATTATTTTAGACAATATGGTTATATGGTACTTCATTCATTGAATATGTATTTTATTAATTCATATCATTCATATAATGTATCAGCTTTCATGATATTTACCCTTACCCTATCTTCTGGAACCAAATCTAAAAGCCTTTTCTACCAGATTAGAGTCTGGACAACCTAAACTTCTGTGTTTTACATGAATACTGTATATTTTGGCCGAGTTAATCGACTGCAGTTACATTTTCTTATACCAATTAACTTTTGCTAAGCATCAATAATATTCGTACAAATTACTTTTTAATTTCAATATAATGTATTTTCAATTTGAGTGAAAGACAAGTTGAATATTTTTACTGATTTTACATCAGTTATAATTAAGAGGACGAGAAGACCCTCTTTTTTTTGGATACGCAACTTCATTAATGATTACAAGTTAAGACTCCGTA